CGGGGTGATCGGACGCTCCGGTCATGTTGACCGGACGCTCCGGTCAGTTCACCCTAACCTCCAGTGTTAAAGTCATGACCGGACGCTGGACAGCGTTCGATCAACACTGACCTGATGCGTCCGGTCGTGATTTTCCCGCTCTGGAACCTTACTGGAGTCGACCGGACGTTGGCTCTCAGCGTCGGTCACTTCATCTCTCAGCGTCCGGTCGTACCAGATGATTTCACGATCAAATGAACCAACCGGACTCTGCGCCAACGTCTAGTCACACATGAACCAGCGTCCGGTCAGTATTTGACCCTTCATTCACTTCCAACTCTCAATCATACGTGAATGAAGTTTGCTCCAATGGATCTAAGGGCTTTTTAGGAGCTACCTAGCGCTAGTTTTAGCAAGTGTGCACCACACCTAATCCACTAGACTCACCTAGGTCAAGCTACCCGTCCATACCCCTCTTAATAGTATGGCCAAAGGGAAAACAAAGTCCTAAACTACTATAAGTGTCTCTTCAACACCAAATGACACTTAGAACTAATCTAACCTTAACCTTGTCGTCCATCCTTTGAAAACCGAAATGATTTCCATCGTAGGGGCATGACCACCATGATAGCCCAATCGATCTCCATTACTATGACCTAACTTAATTGCCTCTGCAAAACACACGTTAGTCACAGTAATCACGTATTGTCATTAATCACCGAAACCCAACTAGGGGCCTAGATGCTTTTAGAGGAGATGGAAAGGTGGAGAGAAGTCCAAAGACAAAGGTATGTTTGATAGGGTTTTGTTTTCACCGGCAGAGATGCAATAAAGTGTGTGGTCGTTTAGCATAGATAGCCATACTACTAGGAGGGGAACTCTAAAGCTTAAACGGTTATTTAAGTGCCACTAGGTGTTAAATGACTTTGTATATGCATTAGACCTAGTGATGTGGTGAGATGTAAGTGAAAATCCTTTGAAAAAATATTTGAAAATGCTAACTTAGGGCCAAAGGAGTTGTTGTCATGTTGGACAACATTTAGGAGTTAGTGCATTTGTAAAAGGGTTTGAAAATAAGGTGCTCAAAGTGGTGTCTTTGCAGGCACCGGATTAGTCCGGTGCTAACCAACGGAGAGCACTGGACCATGCGCTATGTTGAAGGGGTGTAGGGGTCACTGGACAGAGGCTAGGGTTAGCCACAAGATTAGTCCGGTGGTAACCCGCTGACTGCACCAAACCATAAGGTCACTGTTCGCATAGTGCAGTTTAATAGACTTTATCGGACTAGTCTAGTGTGAAGCACCAGACCAATCCGATGGATAAAAACCCTTTCTAGAACCTCTCTGGTGGACACTGGAGTAGTCCGGTGGTCCACCAGGGACCAAGCAATAGACCAAGTGCTATAGTAGTCGTTAGGGTTCCAACGACTATTTCAATGTGGGCCAGCGCGCGAGAAGCCACCGGATTAGTCTGGTGGTGCTAACAAAGGGGCACCAGACTATACTCTATGGGCAAATTTGACGTATTGCTTAATTTGGTGGTGGTGCTCTAACATGCAATGGACAATCCGGTGCTTGCGCAGAGTGTCCACTCAACCAACCCAATAGCTAGTTTTTCAAGAGGTCCAATTTACATGTGTTGGTTGGCTCTTTAGCTCTCTCTTGGCACTCTAAGCATTCTAATACACTTGTGAGCCTCCAAGAACATTTCCAACTCATCTCCTTGCTTGTGATTGATCCAAAGTGATTAGGAGAGATCCAGTGCATTTGCTTTGTTGGTTTACATCTAGTGGTACTAGTTCTTCGATCGATTGGGCTACGATTTTCTTGTTACTCTTGGTGGTTGCTGCCACCTAGACAGCTAGGAGTACCTGTGGTTATTCAGTGGAGTGTTGGTGATTGTTCTCTGCCTTCGCCGAGTTGCAAAGGGATAATCTAGTGGAACTCGTGGCTAGTTGGAGTGCACCTTGTGCATGATTTTTGCGTCATCCAACTTATGGGTCTAGCTTGAGTGTCTAGTTAGTGCGCAAATCATCACTTGGAGACCCGCCACAATGTGAACATTAGGTTGCCGGTAAGCAACCAAACCACAAGTATAATTCTTTCTGTTGATCTCTTGCCCTCGGTGGTTTGCTACTACTCTCACTTACATTTACATTTATATATTTTGTGTTTGTTAGTAGTCGTTGCTTGAGTAGCTCACTTGAGTAGTGTTAGTTGTTTAGTTAAGGAGCTTGTTTTAGTTGCTTAACTAGTTTAACTCTCTAGTGTAGCTAGTAGTTTTTGTGTGTGGTGTGGTGTCCGACTAGAAACTATTTGCCACTAGAATCGTGTAGGGGCTTGCTTGGGTGATCTAGAGCTAGAGCTTGTAGTGGCTATTAGGATCCTTTGTTGTACTAATCATCTTTGCTCTAGTCTTGTGCTTTTGTAGAAGAAATTTTTATAGGACAATGACTCTTCCCCTCTAGCCATCTTTATCCTTTCAGATGGGGATTTATGTCGAACATATTTATGCCATCGCTGATAGAGTCAACATAAACACACTTTGCTAGCTCCATTGCCTAGATCTTGCATGGGCTATAGAGCCCAGAAAGATATTCTATCCTCACTAGTTTCCATGGGAAGCATGCATGCATTCGAAACAAAGAAAACTAGTCAAATTATGCAAAGTTTTCTAGTCATATATAGCTCAATACAGGGAAGGCATGACTTCTTTGCTCTATGGATAACCAAGGCAATGTGATTTCTGAAGATGTATTTAGCTTGCAATGGGAGTTGAGATTTGAACAACTCTGAAAATGCTGTCATTTCGAGTTGAAGGTTCAATAGCTCAACTTGCAGCTTGAATATGAAGTTTTCTTCTATCACATCTCAAAATTTTTATTTTGAGTTATGAATAGAAAAACAATAAATAAAATAAATGATTTTGTAAATTTTCTAAGATTTAATTAGGTTGATGGCAATTTAAACAATGGAAGATGTGATTTTCTAATTTTTTTATAATTTAGATTAATTTATCTAGTTACTTTCACACCTTTGCATTTAATGTTGTGCGAAAAATGAATTTATAATTTGGTTAATCCTCGATAGGATTTTATTCATCTTCCAAAAATAAAGTTTCAAAGTGCATGTATTTACTAAAACTATATAAATTTAGTTTAAGATTTAGCTTCAAAATTGTTTCAAAATATTGTTGAATTACTTCGAATTATTTTTCAAAAACAATTTTAATTTGGGCCCCAAAGTTATGTTTCAAAAATAAGTTCAAATTTAATTTAAAATTAAGTTTGGAAAGGGTTACATTACAATTTTAACAATTTCCACTTTAGAGTCTAAAATGGTTTCTTAAATATGTTTGGAGGGTTTGAAAATCTCAAATAGTTTGAACCTAATTTAAAATTTAGTTTTGAAATAAGCATTCGAAAGTTCAAAACTTCCAAACCTACTGTGGCCGAATTCTCATTAATTTTAGCGCACTATTTCTGCGTCCTTTCCTTTTACCTCAAATTCCTTTTGACCCATCTCTTTTCCTTGTCAAAATTAAACCATCTTGCCAGGCTGCCCTCAGTCCTCCCTCTCGGACCTAATCCAACCAGCCCAACTCTCTCCACGACTCCTCTGCTAACTGCCCCACAGCCCAACTCAATGCGGCCAATGCCATCTGCCAGCCCATACTAGGCAATGATGATGGGATACGATCTCTTCTCTAGTTGTGGAGGTGTAAATTGTATGGTTAGTCCTTTGGTGACTTTGGCGAATGTTTGTCGTGAAGAGGGAAAGTTGTTGGTCGCTACGGTGAAAAGCTCAACATGATGGCACAAGGCAGATTCCATCTTTTCTTGGGTTGCCAAGTGTAAGTGGGATGCTCAGGGTTAACCCTTCAGGCTATTGGCAGATTCCATCTTTTCTTGGGTTGCCAAGTGTAAGTGGGATGCTCAGGGTTAACCCTTCAGGCTACTCGTGTCCACGTTTTTCACTGGTTTTCCTTCATAAACCATACAACTATGAGGTTTTTACGCTATTTTTCCAACATTTGCTATAAACTAAGGTGAGTGAAAAGACCTGTGGTTTCAGGCGACGCCCTTCCCCACGCGCTCCCTCTCTCTCTCTCTCCCCCCACGTCGCGCTCACTGTGCCCGCGCTACGCCCACCGCGCCTGTGCCACCGCGGCTCCTCCCTCTCTCCCTCTGGCGGCGGCGGCTCCTCTCTCTCCCCCGACACAGACGGCCCTGGTGCAGCGTGGATCCAGTGGCATGGCGGCCCCGATGAGGTAAGCCCTCCTCCTCCTGGATCTAGGGTTCCGGTGAGCTCACCTATCTCTCTCCCAACTCTGGCAGGCTTAGAAAAAGGAGGGGCCCCGGGGAGGTTGGTAGGCCAAGCGATAGGAATGGTAGAGGGTGGCTTAGAGACCCTGGCGGCGGTAGAGACAGCCCATGCCATGTCGGGGCGGGGGAGCTCCGGCAGGGGGTGGGGGTGGGGGTGGGAAGGCGGCTGCAGCGGGCACGCTAGGAGCTCAGGCCGCACCCTAGCGCGCCCGTGGCGGGGTCGGGGCCAGAAGCGGGGGCGAGTGCCGGAGGAGGAAGAAGATGAATCCTGACTGCCTGAGATCCGTGGGATGTTGATCTATCTAACGGTGGAAAATCGTCGCCTGAATGGAAGCCGGATTTCAGGCGCAAGAAGAATAGCAATTCCCTAATTTTCTTCATAAACCTGGTCAATAATTTATCCTTAAAGCGAATTACATAATCTCACTGCCCCGGTTTCTTCAAAACAACAAAGTATGGAATGCCGTCGACGTTAATTCGAAGGTTCTAATAAATCCGTATACACAATGGCATGCATCACCCAGCAAGGCACGTACGGGAGTATAAACAATAACTGTAACAAATTGCCTGAAACCAAGTTCATCCTTCCATTCCTCCCGTATATATCACGACAGCCCACACCGATCATCAACATCTATCACTGCACTACCATTGGCAAACACGTACATACAGCAAAACCACTTGAAGCTTGGCAACAATGGCGACCAACAACAAGTCATCACTGCCGCTGATGGCGCTAGCCGTGGCAGCGCTACTCATCGTCGGGTCGCACGCCGGAAGCATCTCCATCTATTGGGGCCAGAACAAGGGCGAAGGTTCACTGGCCGACACCTGCGCGACGGGCAACTACAAGTTCGTCAACATCGCCGTCCTGGCGGCGTTCGGCAACGGTCGGCCGCCCGTGTTCAACCTGGCGGGGCACTGCGACCCGACCAACGGCGAGTGCGCCAGCCAGAGCGCGGACATCAAGTCCTGCCAGAGCCGCGGCGTCAAGATCATGCTCTCCATCGGCGGCGGCGCCGGCAGCTACTACCTCAACTCCTCAGCCGACGCGCGGAATCGTGGCCACGGACCTGTGGGAAAACTTCCTCGGCGGGCAGTCGGAGTCCCGCCCTCTCGGGGACGCCGTCCTCGACGGCGTCGACTTCGACATCGAGGGCGGCACACCCCTGCAGTGGGACGACCTCGCCAGGTACCTGAAAGGGTACAGCAACTCCGGCAGGAGGGTGTACCTGACTGCTGCACCTCAGTGCCCGTTTCCTGATGCCTGGATCGGTGGTGCGCTCAACACCGACCTGTTTGACTACGTCTGGGTGCAGTTCTACAACAACCCTCCTTGCCAGTACAGCTCAGGCAGCACCATAGTTGGCCAGGCAGCCCGAGCCCGTCGGCCCGGCCCAAGGCCCGTTTTTTTGGCCCAGCCCAAGCACGGCCCGGCCCGGCGGCTAGCGGGCCCGGGCTGGCCGGGCATGGAGGAGCAGGCCGTGCCTGGGCCTTACCCCAGGCACGTGAGCCGACACGGCACGGCCTGCTACAGAACATCCGGGCCGCTAGGCCCGCTAGCGGCCCGGCCTGCCGCCTCCCCCCCCACGTCCGGCATATATAAGTGGCGCGTCCCTGTCGCCCAGTCGCCTCGCCTCTCCCGCTCCGCAGTCCAGTCGCCTCGCTCCTCGCCCACTCCGCTCCGCTCTCCGCTCTCAACCCTAACCCTAATCTCCACTCGCTCGTCGTGGCGCAGCCGATCCCCGCTCGCCCAGTTGCCTCGCTGGCGGCCGGCTTCGCAGTCCGCTCCCAACCCTAACCCTAATCCCCACTCGCTTGCCGGCTCACCGCGGCACAATCTCTGCTCTCTCTCTCGCCCGCATCGGCCGCATCCATGATCTAGCTAATCTGAGCTCTCTCTCGTGATCTACTGATCTCGTCCCGTCGTCCCCGACTCTGGCGACCTCGATCAGCCTATCTGACCCTGTCTCCACTCTTCTCCCTTCTCCCACTCCTCTCTCGCTCTTGGTGAACTATGTGAGTTCGTGACCGTGTTCCCGTTCGTCCCTCCTCCGCCGTTCGCCGTCGTTTCTAATCGGTCTCTCTCCTCTAGGTGGCCCTCGTCATCTCCGGCACCGGGCTTTAGTTGCGCAGGTACTCCACTAACCCTAACCCTAACCCTAGATCTGTCTTCTCCACTTCTTGTGTCTCTTCCACTGAACGACTGACTCTAGATTTGTACCTCTATCTCTCTGACTTTCTGTTTTTCTCCTCTGTGCAGGTCGGTTGCCGATGCCTCGTCGTCCTCTTCCTGTGGCATAGACTGGGCACGGCGGCCACACACATCGTTGAGGAACGGTGTTGGAGATCAGCCATCCGCGATCAAGGTCACCATGGCGGATGACGACGATGTCGTCTATCCACTCATCGGCAACGATGACCTTATCGCGGTAGGGCTGCTCCCAGAGGACGATGACGACATCCGTGATGACGCTGCTGCGTTGTTGGGTATCGATGTCGGTAGTGGCTCTGCTATGATCGATATGGACGGTGGCGACGGTGGTGGAGGGGGCGGAGCCGGCTCCGTCGGCGACGGCGATAGGGACACCGGTCGGCTCCAACAGCATAGATGGTACCTTATGCATTGGTAAGCGTAAATCTGGTGTCTGGGTTGATTTTGATGAGATCTATGAGACAATGATCAAAAGGTTTGAATTGCTGCTATATGTAAAATGTGTAAGAGTAAATTGTCTGCTAGATCTTCTGTTGGCACTAGCCATTTGATTAGGCATCAGAAATCTTGTAGGAAAAAGGCTGATCATGCTGCTAGGGTTCAGTCTAGGCTTTCTTTCAATCCTGATGGATCTATGCATAACTGGGACTACAATCCTGCTGTTGCTCGCTCTGAGTTGTGTAGGTTGATTGCTAGGCTTGACCTTTCATTAGGTATAGGTGAGTCACAGGCATGGGAGGATTACATTGTTCTTGCTCATAACCCTAGGTTTGCCAAGGTTTCTAAACAGACCACCACTAGAGATCTTGGTAAGATGTTTACTGAACGTCGTGATAAGCTTAAGAATTTTGTGTTGCCTGCTTCTTCTTCTTCTATTGCTTTGGCTTTAAACATTTGGTCCGGTAATGCTAAGGAGGACCATATTAGTGTTGTTGCTCACTATATGAATGCTGATTGGGAGTTACATAAAAGGGTTATTGGTCTTAGGCTGATTGGGGTTAAACATTCTGGTGAAAATATTGCTGAAAGAATTGTTGCTGTGGTTGAGGAGTATTGTCTGTTTGACAAGATTTTCTCTGTCACTCTAGACAATGCTTCTTCTAATGCTAAGGCTATGAACACTTTGACACCTCTCTTTGCTTGTTACTTAGGTCCTGATCCTTTGGATCCTAGTAACCGTAAGTACAGTCTTGTACATCAACGTTGTGCTTGTCATATCATTAATCTCATTGTAAAATCTAGATTAAAGAGGTTAAAACCTTACACAGAAGATTCTAGAACTGCAATTAACTTCTTAAATTCCTCTAATCAAAGAATTGCATTGTTCAAGAAATACTGTAATGCTAAGGGTGTTAGACCTAGAAAGTTTAGCTTGAATATAGATGTTAGATGGAATTCTACTTACCTGATGCTTAAACACTTGGTTCCATACAAGAATGTCTTTTCTGTGTTCATTAATTCCTATTATGGTTCACAATTGTTGACTACAAATCATTGGTATTTTGCTGAGAAGTTATTGGAGTTCCTGGAACTCTTCTATAACTCTACTGTTATTCTGTCTGGTGTTTATTATCCTACAAGTCCACTTGTTCTGGACCACATCCTAGAGATTGCTTCTCATTTGCATGCATGTGAACAAGATCATAATCTGAGAGCTATTTTATATCCTATGAAGCTTAAGTTCCTTAAATATTGGCATGACATACCTCTGTTATATTCATATGCATTCATTTTTTATCCTAGAGCTAAGATGAGAGGTTTCTTTAATATGCTGCAATTACTTGGTGAATACACTGGTTCTGAGTACAGTTCATACTATGCTGATGTCAAAACTGAATTATATAAACTGTTTAACAAATATGAGAGCAAGTTTGGTGCTGCTGGGTCTCAAAGGGTTGCACAACCATCACATCATACAGGTAAGAAAAAACAGGCATGGGGAATAATCTTTGGCCATGGATCAGGTGTTGTTGGTCCTTCCCCTCTCCCTGCCACTTCATCTTCATCTACTTCTATTGTTTGTGAGCTCTTAGCTTACTTAGACAGTGACAATGTCACTTCTTATGAGGATGATTTTGACCTACTTCTATGATGGCGTGACCACAAGCTAACCTTTCCAATCCTATCTATAATGACTAGAGATATCATATCAGTTCCTGTATCTACTGTCTCTTCGGAGTCTTGTTTCAGTTTGACAGGTAGGATAATTGAGAAACGGCGGCGACGCTTGTCACCAGAGACTGTGGAGATGCTGACCTGCTTCAAGGACTGGGAGTTAGGAGAAAAAAGGGAACGTCATGCTGCTGACAACCAAGAGCTTGAAGACTCATTCGAGAACTTGTACCTTGATGAAGATGGATCTGCTGGTGGTGCTCCTGGTACTTAGTGAGGTCTTGAGGTTGAGACTTGACTCCTGAGGGTGTGTGTGTGATTTGTGACTGTGAAAGGGTGTGTGTGACTGTGAAAGACTTGTCTATCATTTGAACAATGGTTAATTAAGAGCTGGCTGCACTCTTTTTTCCTTTCTAGGGTTTCTCACAAGGGTGAGTTTTACCTAGAAAGGTTTTTAATGAGGCACCATTGCACTAAACAGCTCATTTTGGTTATTTCTGTTATCCGTCGGCTTTGGAGTTTGGAGTTTGATATCTCTCGTTGGACTGTGAATGTATCGGTCTATCGAACATTTGGACTTTGATTCTGTGAATGTATGAAACCGTGATCTGTGAATGTATCGGACATTTGGACTTCGATTATGTGAATGTATGAAACTGTGAATGTATCGGACATTTGGAGTTTTGGACTTTGATTCTGTGAATGTATGAAACTGTGATATGTGAATGTATGAATTATGAAACTTTGATTCTGTGAATGTATGAAATTGTGATATGTGAATGTGAACTGTGATCTGTTTGTGAATGCAAAGGGTAACGGGCCATGGGCTGGCACGGCCCGTGATTATGGTCGTGCTTTGCGGGCCGGGCAGGCACGGAATTTGGCCCATAGGGCCGTGCCTAGGCCGAAGGCCAGGCCCGTGGCCCTGTGAGGCACGGCCCGGAGGCACAAGGCAGCGCCGCGTGTCGGCCGTTAGCTATCGGGCTGCTGCTAGGGCCGTGCGGGCTGCCCCGTGCGGGCCGCCCGTTGGCCATCTATAGGCAGCACCACTGATCTTGCTGATGCATGGAAGCAGTGCCTCACAATCCTGGCGAAGCGGATCTTCCTCGGCCTCCCGGCTTCGCCTCAGGCAGCAGGGAGCGGGTTTATTCCGGCAGATGATCTCAAGTCCCAGGTGCTTCCGCTCATCAAGAGCTCCGGGAAGTATGGAGGGATCATGCTCTGGTCCAAGTACTATGATGACCAGGATGACTACAGCTCTTCAGTCAAGAGCGATGTTTAGAACATGTATGCGTGCTATATTTATGTTCTCGGTTGTGATGTGTGATGGCGTGAACGTTCATTCTCTTTCTTGCAAGTAGTGCCTGGTTCTAGAGAGGTTTGTGCAGTTGTAAATATTTTTTAATTCCAGATGGATTGGACGCGAGCAGATTACTGTTTTTCTTTTCATAATACTGTATTATCAAATTTTTTGTTCATATTCAACGACATATAAGATATTTTTAGTATTAACTACTCCCCCATTCTAATTTATAGGTCGTTTTAGCTTTTTTAGATACACAATTTTTGTTTTGTATCTAGACATATCATATATTAGGATACAGTGAGTGGTAGGTTCTAATGATAATATATATGCACTAAATGCTAAAAGAAAGAAACTATAGAGAAACAACTTTGGCCGGTACGTACATAATAACATCTTTCTAGTTCTAGTTTCATCAAGTTCAACAAAATGACATAATAAACACTAAGAGTACTAAGAACACCAACCCATTGGTAAGCGAAGAAGGGTGCCGGGGACCACCAAGTGAAGCTGGGTAAATTCGTTTTCCGCAGGTTACTACAATTGGCAATGGCCTTCAAATCCTGGGATGTGTAATATGGTTGTCAAAACTTGGTTGACTCCGTGAAATTACTGTACTCTTTGGTACCATCCTGTCAAACAAGCCTTCAAAAGTCGAACCCATGCATAGCTCAATCCGTCATCATGCCACTTCACATCCATTTGGAGCGCAAAACGTCCAATCACAACAAGAAGAGCGCACGAACTTATAGTGCATTTGGTAGGGATCTAAATTCTTATAAAAATATGTTTCGGATTCAGATTCTTATAGAAATATTTTGGATTTAGATTTTGTCAAAAAACGTCTCAAATGATGAATTAGAATCACTTTGGAAGATTATTTGGCTACTAGGCTAGTTTCTAATTAAAAAATATTTTTTCATAAAAATTATATAAACCAAAATATTCTTCAAAACCTATAGAACTTTTTGTGAACGTAGGACAACTTAAATACAACCCATTTTAATTTATTGTGCTTAAAATGTTTAAATGAAAAGAAATGCAACAGAAGCAGACGTGAGCCGGCACGAATAATCATGCGACACAACCCTGGTGCCACCTGATGCCGTTTCGGTCTTCGACGAAGGAATCCCATATCACTAGAAACATTTCAGCACCGAATCGCTAGGCTCCAATACCATTTGGAATCATTTCAGGTGATTCTTAATAGAAACGGGGCTCCAATACCATTTGGAATCATTTCAGGTGATTCTTAATAGAAACGGATCTGATTCTCTCATCCAAACGGAGCCTTAGATGCAATGCATAATTGATTTCTTAGAAATTTTATGGCAAGGGGCATAGCTTAAATGTTTTAACATTTCATAAGCTTCCTAGAAATTCTACAGGTCCATTACCTCCGTCGAAAAAACAAATTTAGCCACACAGCACTGCAGTTCTATGTAACCTGCAGAATTCTTACACTACAATGGCCAGCTGAGTGCTCTGCCTTTTGCTTGATTATTCTTATTGAATACTAGATGTTACCAACATTTGTACAGGTCTTGAACTGTTCTGATTGATGAAGGCAGTGCAAATTCATCCAATCAAGAAGTTATCGCAATGTAATTTAATTATGTTTTAAACGAATCATAATATAATTTTGTTGGCCAGCTACAGAATGATTTCATAGATGTCATATTTCAACTCAGTCAAATCAGAATAACGTTCACGTTCGTCTGAACTCTGAAGTTGCCAGCTGAATCCGTTCAGACGTGTTCACCAGCCTCACAGTCCAATTGCCCAAAAAGTCACGCAGGATCATAAACAATAACGGCAGTAACCAGTTTCAGACTTCCAATCCGTCCACTATATAGAGCAGCCCTTGCAGCCCAATCTCACAACACACAGCAAAACAATCACCACTGCAGCCACAACAAGAAGAAGCAACACTGTTCCACAAATGGCAACCAGATCATCGCTGGTGCCACTGCTGCTCATTGCAGTAGCTGTTGCGCAGATTGTTGGGTCACAAGCTGGCAGCATTTCCATATACTGGGGTCAGAATGGCGGTGAGGGCACACTGGCCGACACCTGCGCCACCGGCAACTACAAGTTTGTCAACTTGGCGTTCCTCGTAACCTTTGGCAATGGCCAGACTCCAGAGCTCAACCTGGCAGGCCACTGTGACCCCACAAGTGGTGGCTGCGCAAGCCTAAGCGACGACATCAAGTCATGCCAGAGCAATGGTGTCAAGGTCATGCTCTCGATCGGCGGAGCTTCAGGTAGCTACTACCTTTCCTCAGCTGCGGATGCCAAGAATGTTGCCACATACTTGTGGAACAATTTCTTAGGGGGTCAGTCATCTTCTCGCCCCTTGGGCGATGCAGTCCTCGATGGCATAGACTTTGACATCGAGGGCGGCACCACCGAGCACTGGGATGATCTTGCAAGATACTTGAAAGGGTACAGCAACTCTGGCAGGAGGGTGTACCTGACTGCTGCACCTCAGTGCCCGTTTCCTGATGCCTATGTCGGTGGTGCACTCAACACCGGCCTGTTTGACTACGTCTGGGTGCAGTTCTACAACAACCCTCCTTGCCAGTACAGCTCAGGCAGCACCACAGATCTTTCTGATGCATGGAAGCAGTGGCTGTCGATTCCGGCGAAGCAGATCTTTCTTGGCCTCCCGGCTTCGCCTGAGGCAGCTGGCAGTGGGTTTATACCAGCCGATGACCTCAAGTCTCAGGTGCTTCCGTTGATCAAGAGCTCAGGGAAATATGGAGGGATCATGCTGTGGTCCAAGTACTATGATGACCAAGATGACTACAGTTCTTCAGTGAAGAGTGATGTTTAGGTTGTTGCATGTGGTGTGTCACAATATATGTGTGTTACCTGTGTGTATGTGAGCACTTCGCTCTATGATTTGTGAGAAATTGTGTGACTCTGGATAGTGTAATAAGTATTACTCGATACGATTGGACCTTCTGTCATACTATGTCCTACTGTTCAAATTCTTCAGATGGCTCAAAGAAAACACAAATTATAAAACTGCCTGGTCCAAATTCAAAAAATGGGGACTAAATACTAACTCAAAAAATGCCTGGTCCAAATTAAATCAACTTTTGAAGAGAATGGCACTGCCTAGCGAACTCTCCATTAGCAGTACTTTAACATAACATAAATAATTAGAGGCTCAGGTCAAGATAATATGTAAAGTGTTCAGGATTGCGACACCTTTAAATAGGGAAGTAAGAGGTGCAATCTTTTGTCAACAGATGAAAGGTATTAAAGTAGCATAACAAAACTGAACGTTACCCAGATTCTACTTCAGTTTCCAGCTAACTAATGTCACACTACATACAGCTAACACAGGAACTAACAGTAATTCAAGTTTGGGGGTAGAAAAGCACATACTTTGCCTAAGAAATCATGTGTGTATATATAACCTACTTCTATCAAAGTGTCCAGACAGTCAAATATAATGTTGACTAGGAATAACACTGCTAACAACCTTCTACAGAATGATCTACTTGCTGAGGTGTGATGGTGTCGAGCCAGTAGCAAGGTCAAATCCAGGAGGAATAAATACAACATCATCCCATTTTGGGGAGGAGCTATCCTGCAATATGCCTTAAATTTTAGTAGGATTGAAGGCAAGTAAACAGAATATGGCAACTAATGAATTGGGGGGTCAATCTTGAGTCACAAGGTATATGCTATATGTGGGTCACAAAGATACGCAAAAGTGTCAACATGATGCACTGTGCCAAGGACAGGTATATAATACAAAATTACTTTATGCAAAAGTTAAAAACAGAATGGGTCAGCCAATGACGATAAAGGGGCGTACCCAGTGCAGAGAGCTCCCGCTCTGTGCGGGGTCTGGGGAAGGGTGTCAGTGGCAAGCCTTACCCTCGCCTGTACAATGCGAGGAGACCGCGACTCGAACCCGGGACCTTCCGGTCACAGGCGGTAAGACTCTACCGCTTGCACCAGGTCAGCCAATGACGATAAGCTTGGAAAATTATACTAGCTTTAAGGCTAGGGTATCCAGATTTTAATATGCAAGGATCACAATTTTTAATAAAATCTGTTCTAGAGAGCTTAGGCATACCTTCATAGATTTAATGATATCTTCCAAAGAAGAAACCTGAAAAGTAGAGCACCTCAATATACACTTCAAATTTTCAGATCTATCACTTTGGAGAAATAAGGTAACATACAATGTACTACCTGAGTGTCACCAAACCTAACAACAGGATTAGGTTTTTGCTGATCACGGGAGGTCCGGTGCAGTGAGTTATCCAAGTCCTCCTAAACATATATAGGAGTAGAAATTAAAAATACGAAAAGGATGAAAGGCATGTTCAATAGGGCAAAGAAACAAAGAAGATCCCCTAACAACACCACCACCAACAACAACAACAATAGAAGATCCCCTAACCTTTCTGAAAAAAAACTGGACGATATCTCTTGTTGTCACTCATCAGGACCAAGCACCTTGACTACAAAGTTATGTTGATCACATGTCATGCGTCCTCCTAAACATATATAGGAGTAGAAATTAAAAATACGAACAGGATGAAAGGCATGTTCAATAGGGCAAAGAAACAAAGAAGATCCCCTAACCTTTCTGAAAAAAACTGGACGATATCTCTTGTTGTCACTCATCAGGACCAAGCTCCTTGACTAAAAAGTTATGTTGATCACATGTCATGCACAGAATATTTGAAGTAATGAAAAACATAAAGAAACATTTCTTTAAGTAAAGTTGAGCTTAGCAGTAGGATACGAAGGGGCTGATATAAGCAATGCCTGCTCTTATTCTCAGAGGAACAAAAAAAAAAGAAGCAGCAATGCCATCAGACGGGCTTGCACAGACTAGGGTAGAGATTTCTGACTGCCAAAGCCGTCAAGGGATACAAAACCATATATGCACAGAAGAGTAATCTTACATGTTTATTTTGTTGATCAAATGCTTTACTATTATCTTAATTATTACTAAAAGTAGTACAATATGTATATTTTCAATCCCATTCTATTTAGCATATCTTCAATGTAAAAGTTATATTTTTCCTTTGTACACTACATGCTACCTGATACTGCTGAGAGACAGTATAATGTTAAATGGTTAATTCAGATTTGATCTGTCGAAGTCAATACTACATTTCTGCTATCTACCTAATAGAAATGAAAATTATTACAAATTAGGTGAAATTATTCAGACCTGAAAAACTGGCACTCCTGGAAATCCCCCTCTGGCATACAGCCCTTCATCTTGCATCAGCTAAAAGGCACAGGTACAGTGCCAACTTTTTATATGTGAAGTAATGATTAGAAGAATCTTCAGAACATGAGCTATACTCATAATGCACTAAGCAGTAGGCGGAGGCACTATCTCACCTAAGGGTCTAAAACTTTACAATGAATTCTTTTGGCAAAAGCATTTGTGATTTTGTGACATGGAGGTTAAATCCTAAAGCTACCACAAAAGTTCCTGCCAAAGTATTTTCTTTGTGCTGCTATCACAAATAACCTGCTACACTAAACTAGACAAGGAAGAAGAAGAAGATGTTGATATCTTTTAGTTCCCAGTCACTTAGATGTTTTTCAAACTTACTCAAATGGAACTTTAGCAATCCAAAAAAGCATAAATGATACCATTTATTTTTCATATAAGCCTCTGAATATACTGTATACATAAATTGGATGGAACAAGCATATGATTTATCATCAAGATATTTCATGATGCTATTTTTTAAAGTTGTACATATTAGTCTTTTAAATTGTACTATATGCAAGAGGCAATAATATTCTACAATTATGCAGAGGAAATCCTTTTCGTGCAATCATTTTGTTTATTACATATACAACAGAATGATAAAATTTGGGGAACATAAGGACAGTAAGCAGATAGCTTGTTTTTGGCCAGTCACATGTACCACCATCTGTTAGAAAAGATAGTTACCTTAATTGCATTAGCCACCTGAGATGAATCAGGCAGGAATCTAAACGCCACACCATCCGACTTCAGTTGGATAACCTGAAAACAAAAGATATACCAGGCACAGAATGCACAAAATTCCATTTAGGAGAACTGCAACGAAATTTTAAGTAATTAAGGCACAAAGTAAAGATGTGTCCTGTCAAACTAGAGAGAGAAATAGTTACTAGGTTCGAAAAAACAATTTTCCAGGGGAGCAAAAGAATGTGGGACACCAGCCCCTGATTACATACAATTAAACACGAGCATAACATATCTCGATAGAAATATAACAGAAAGTGCAGTTACTTTGCAGCCTAAGGCCTAGGCAACTTCTCAAATACATCTTAAACAAAAATTTTGATGCATGACATACAAGGAATTGCAACTAATTCTAACATTTCAGTGACACCAGAAGTAGATAGGCCTCAAAGACAATCTAACCTGACCTTGCTACCCAATTTTATGGGTAATCCGACTTTACAAGTAAGTGTCTTACAGCAGAAAAAAATCCATCAATGTGCAATTTGTTTGAGAGTTAACTCCATTCATCAAGTGACTTCTTTGCACACAAGATACTGTAATTACCACAGAAACCTTGCCAACAACACGGAACACATGACATGTACAAGACAAGCCATACTGAAGCACACAATCAGATGATTGAACAGCTCTAAATGCAAGAGCAAAATAGACACATGGAGAAACGGTAACTTAATCACTGACTGGAGACACTACTAAGGCAACAGGTTCGTGTACAGGCTTTGCATCGAGCAACTTGAGGGCGCATGACTATTTGAGAAACCAAGAAGAAGCACTCCCACCTTGTTGAGTGCCACGGGAACGACACTAGAGCCGGCGCGCATATCGCCCTCCATCTGCTCCAGCAGCGCGTCGGCATCTTCCTTCCGGAAGCAGAGCAGCCCGAGCGCCGGCGGTGGCCTCACGCCCTCGGCCCCTTGCCCTCCCACGCGGGTGGACGACACGAGCACAAACTCCTGGGCGGCGTTGGCGAGCGCGTACACGGGCACCCCGGCGAGCCGCTCCTCTATCTCAGAGGTCGGGAGAGACAAAGAGGTGGAGGCTGGGGAGGGGGAGGGGATGCGGGCCCAGGGCGGCGGCGGCGGGAGGGCCTGGGGGAGGGAGGAGAGGAAGGAGGTGACGTGGGCTTGGATGGGGAGGAAGGGGTTCGGGAAGCGTGGGCTAGGGTTAGTGTCTAGGTTGGAGGTGCCACCGGTTGTGGTGGGGTTCTTGAGCCATGGGAACTGGAATCGGAAAGGCATGGCGGCGACGGTGGCGGCCGGTGGGAGAGCCGGAGAGTGGAGAGCCAGGGGCTGCACGCGCACGGCACGGGGAAGAAGAAGATGAGCGCAAAAGGTTTTTGGGTGTTCATGGGCATGGGCTTCCTCCGAGCGAATATGTTGGGCCCATTTTCTTATTTCAACAAAAAAAAAGTTGAGCCTGCGGACCGAGGCCTGTGAGGCTCTGACCCTAAAAAATGTTGGTGGCCCCATAAAAAAAATGTTGATGGCATCTCGAGAAAAGAAGACTTGAAAACTAATCTGGCCATCCAAACGAATTTACAAATTGTGTGTAGCTTAGTTGTTAGGTTTTGTGGTTCAAACTATCATCCAAGTTTAAGTTCTCGGCTAGACAAAGGTACTCTGAAAGAAAGTTTAATAGTTACTAGTGTAACATAATCACAAACCCGTGGAGCTATCCAGAGATCAACTCAAAACTATAGGGAGATGGTGATGCTAGGGTGTGGTAACTTCATGAATCTCAAGGTTTGCATAGTGTTTGTACCTAAAAGTGGTAGCTAATGCTTATTTTCTCTATAAGTTCGATATGTATGGTTCTTGAGCATTTTGTCTGAGTTCCACGAAAAATATAAATAAGCCCTTGAAACATCATCAAAATAAGTCCAAATAACATACTAGAGTTCACCATGATGTAGCTCTCATCCATACAATTGAAACGGACATATGGATTGTCTGGTTCAAAGTTCGGGTCTAGAAGTTATGATGCTCAGAAAATCACATAGATTGGTCCAGTTGTACATACCAAACCATCTAGTTTGACAAAACTAGGTCATTCAATATGCATATCGAACCATCCAATTTGCCATACCGGACAATCTGGTTTTGGCACTCCAAAAGCACAGTTGTACATCTATTTTGAGTTAGCTTTAACGCATTTTGGGCACGATTTTGTACCTTTTGTTGGGACACGGTTACGAGCCGCAGAGGCTAGAGTTCACGACGACGGTAAAGAACTAACAACTTTCCAAGGTTCATGGGCAACTTGCAGGGAAAGGAGATGGAGACCTTCGCTCAGCCGGTAGCTCCGGGCAAAGGCATCGAAGGAAACCTCCGCTCGGCCGGTCGCGGCGGGTCGAAGGCCTGGAGCTTGCGACAAAGGCTCCACCAACATAGGCGGAGGCCACAGTCCGGGCGACGATAGCGGAGGTCCCAGCGAAGGCACCCCGGGTGGAGAACCCAGAACTTAGGGGAGCTCCAGCTTAGCGGTAGCACTGGCCCATGGGCCGATGGTAGGCCGTCAGCAGTGACCCAACACGTAAGGGCGGTTGAAGAAGAAGGCACCCATAGTACCCCTAGCGGCTTGTATTGGCATAGGAATATTCCGAGAATGTACCATAACCGACAAGGGGTAGAATTATAAAGAGAAGCCTTAGTAAATAGTGCCCTATAAAAGGGGGACTCAAACTCTGTATAGGGGTGGTGGTTGGATACATTTATGAAACCCTAATCAGGCTTGGGCCCACCTTCCACTCCTCACACCTTCAGCCAAGGCACTCGGCTGGCGAAGGCCTCCGTTGTCCTTCCTTGTCCCACCTGCTGGAAATCCCTTTTTCCAACATTGGCGCCCACCGCGTGTTGGCCGAGCAAAACCCACGATGGCAAGAAAGAGAGCAGCCTCCACTAGAACTCTCGTAGAGCCCTCGACGTGGGGACGACCTAGGCGTAGCACTCGTAGCTCTTACGCTAGCGCCCTAGAAGACCAAGTTGAAGAAGAGCTCACGGTCGAAGATCAGCCAGCCTCAGACCCCACCCCCGAGCAGGTGCTACAACAACTACAAGCTCAACTGCAGAGCATACAAGCAGGAAAGAGATAGGTTGGCGGCAACCTTCGCTGCAAACCAGAGGGTGGCCCAGACATCATTATAGGCAGCGGAGATCATGCAACAAAGTCAGCCCCAATCCAACACATCCAACCAGCTCACACTCAGCAAATCAAAGCCAGCTTAACCCTTCACCAGGTAAGGTCGCCCAACCAACCTTCAGCACACCTTTCAACTTGCCGCTAGTGCAAAGAACCATAGATTCAAGATCCCCACTGTCCGAGGGAATCCAAACTTCACCCTTGCCATCATCTTATAAGCCCATTACCCTACCCAAATTAAATAGAAGGTCAGATCCACGCCAGCTCATCATGAGCTTTGAGGCAGCCATAGCCTCTGCAGGAGGAAATGATACTGTCTTGGCCAAGTCATTTGTTATTGTAGCCGAAGGAGATGCATTGGCATGGTACTCAATGTTGAGGCCAAGTCCAGTATATTCATGGGAGGACCTCCGACACAAGATCATCGCTAACTTCAAAGGATTCACCATTGAATCTTTGCCATCAATCGATTTGTTTCGGTGCAAACAGAATCAAGGTGAGGCACTGAGGGATTATTTTCAGAGATTTGTGCAGCTTAAAGCGAAGACACCAAATGTCCCAGAAGATGTAGCAATTGAGGCCGCAATTAAAGGCCTCCGCATCGGAGCCTTCACAGCTCATCTAGCTCGAGAGAAGCCATGCACCATAGAAGAATTATACAGAGAGTTTGAGAAGTACTGCAGCTCAGACAACGACCTTCGAAGAAGGCTGGAAGAACAAAATCAGAACAAGTAGTACCAAGGAAATGGCAGGAATGCTCAGAGGGGCAACAGAAGCCAAGGCTAGCCATAGCCTCAGCAAGCGTCTGATCAACAAGTTTTCAACATAGAGCAGCAAGGGAGTAGCCAGCAACGGCAACAGATGCCAAAGGTAGAACAAAACAAAGCATCGCAGAAGCAGTACGAAGGCAAAAAAATACAATGAAAAGAAAAGCTGGAACAAAAACCAGGAACCAAAGCAGCGAAGGCAATATTGTTTCTTCCATGGAGAAAACAAAGGACACATCACCAGAGATTGCCCAGATGCGAAAGAGACCCAGGAGAGAATAAAAAACAGGGCAAACCCTTAACCTCCGCCACAACAACTCATCATGGAGGTCAACCATACCTTCGTTGTACCTCCACAACAGCCATATTGCCCAATCTACACAAGCCTTAACTCCGATCAAATTCACCCATCCACTTTGACAGCCACATACTACCCCAATTTCTGACCTGCATGGTGACCAAGCACCCAATAGTAAGGGCAGCCATGTAATCAGCAAGCAGAAGCCAACCTCACCTACATAAACCCAAGGCCTCCGCACATAACATTCATAGAGACAAGCCAGCCAGCTCAAGTGCATTATAGACAACTTGAAGCACTACCTCCGCCACCACCTCCACCATAGCTAACCGCTCCAAAAAATGAGCCCAACCTAGAAAACTAGCTCAATCCACATACACCACTACCCACCATTAGCATGATATTGCCGATAGCCCGAGGCTCTTCAATGGAATTTCAGACAAAGAAGCAAAAGAAAGATCACCTCAAGCTCGTTAACAACATAGCAGTGCAGGGTCTAGTGCGCTACATAGATTGGTCGAAGATACCCATCACATTCTCAAAATAAGACCTCTAGTTGGAGAGCTACCCCCATACTGAAGCCATGGTGATCAAAGCTAATATAGCAGGCTAAGAAATCAACAGGGTTCTCATAGACTCCGGAAGCTCTGTAGACATCATCTTTGTCAATGCCTTCGATCAGATCAAACTAAGCAGAAGCCAGCTGCAACCTTCGGATTCACCACTGATAGGTTTCGGAGGAAAAAGGATCAACGCATTGAAAAAATATCCCTACTAGTTTCTTTCGGAGGTCAGGAGAATGCTAAGACAGAATACGTGACCTTCGACGTAGTAGACCTCTACTACCCATACAATGTCATCTTCGACAGGGGGTTTGCAAACAAGTTCAATATAGCCATTCATATGGGCTACTTATGTATGAAAATACCAGCTTTGCACAGCACCATCACAGTGCATGGAAGTCAGAAGGAGGCGAGAAACATAGAAAGAGCAATCTATAAATCACAGCGCAACATCTATTCTGTCGAAGAAGCCAGAAGCAACTCACCGGAGCCTCCGGACATGCCAAAGGGCAAAATAGATCTCAAAGATCAAGAAGAAACAAAATTAGTCCCATCGGAAGATATAGTCCCAGACAGAAAAGTCATTGTTAGAGGCAACTTGTTGAAAGAAGAAGAATCAAAACTCATAGAAACCTTAGCCAAGAACAAAGATGTCTTCTCCTGGTCAGCCTTCGACCTCCAAGGAGTCAGCAGGGATATCATACAACACTCCCTTGACATCAACCCCAGAATGAAGCCAAGGAAATAGCGACAAAGGAAAATGTTGGAGGACAGAATCTTAGCAGCGAAGGCCGAAGTACAGAGGCTGTTAGACGCAAACGTCATCAGAGAAGCCAAGTACTCAGAATGGCTGGCAAATGTTGTACTAGTACCAAAGAAAAATGGAAAGATGAGATTATGCATAGACTTCACAGATGTCAACAAAGCATGCAAGAAAGACCCATTTCCGCTACCAAGGATTGACACCTCCGTTGATAAGGTAGCAGGATGCAAGCACTTCTCCCTCCTAGACTGCTTTTTAGGATATCACCAGATCTGGTTCAACAAAGAAGATGAGGAGAAGACAAGTTTCACTACCCCCTTTGAAACTTATTGCTACACCAGAATGCCTGAAGGACTAAAGAACACAGGCTCAACCTTCGCCAGAATGACGAAGGCAATCCTTGGCCCACAGCTACAGAAAAACATCATAGCTTATGTCAACAATATTGTGGTAATGAGTAAGAATGAAGAAGATCACATAGCGGATTTAAAGGAAACCTTCGCCAACCTTAGGGAAGCAGGCATAAAACTAAACCTAGAAAAGTGTGTTTTTGGTGTTAGTAGAGGGAAGGTGCTTGGGTATATCATAGGACCCGAAGGAGTTTGGGCTAACCTAGAGAAGACGAAGGCCATAATCTTGATGGTCGAACCATCAACTAAAAAAGAAGTCCAAAAGCTCACAGGGAGGACAACAGCATTGAACAGATTTA